CTGGTGGTGGGTATTAAAGAGGGCACGTTCTGCATGGAGCACTGGGTGTTATACGCAAACAATGAATCATGGAACACTACATCTAAAACTAATGATGTAATGTATGGGGATTAATATAACAATAAAAAAATTTTAAAAATATATATATTTTCTTTTTTTTTTTTTTTTAAAGATTTTATTTATTTATTTGAGAGAGAGAATGAGACAGAGAGAGAGCGCATGAGATGGGGGAGGATGAGGGAGAAGCAGACTCCCCGCCGAGCAGGGAGCCCGATGCGGAACTCGATCCCGGGACTCCAGGATCATGACCTGAGCCGAAGGCAGTCGCCCAACCAACTGAGCCACCCAGGCGCCCTAAAAATATATATATTTTCAAGAAAAAAAAAAAAATTAAGGTACCTAGCAAGGAACTCTGCTTACAAGTGGTCTAGACTCTAAACAGGTTCAGCCATAGACATCCTTAACAGATATTAAAAGAATTTACTTAATTGTAAACCTAATTCCTCAAAATTAGTATCAATACTATAGAATACATCTTAGCAGCATTTAAAGATAACTACATATATGTAATACTAATCAATATTAATATAATATCTTTATTAGCACACAAATACAACCATTTGCTGCTACTCCTATCACTACTGCTGCTACCTCTACTACCACTTACCACTTAATATGCCCTAAAATATGCCAGGTATACTCTCATCACTTTATAAATATTAACCTGCTTAATCCTCTTAACAGCCGTGTGAGATAGGTACTATTACTATCCCCATTTAACAAATGGGGAAACTTGAAGTAGCAATAGTTTAAAAACTTCATCGAGGTTACACAAGGTAGTAAAGAGCAGAGCTGTGATTAAAACCCAGGCATTCTGGGGCGCCTGGGTGGCTCAGTCGTTAAGCGTCTGCCTTCGGCTCAGGTCAAGACCCTGGGGTCCTGGGATCGAGCCCCACATCAGGCTCCCCGCTCAGTGGGAAGCCTGCTTCTCCCTCTCCCACTCCCCCTGCTTGTGTTCCCTCTCTCGCTGTGTCTCTCTCTGTCAAATAAATAAAATCTTAAAAAAAAAAAAAAAGTTTAAAAAAAAAACCCAGGCATTCTGATTCAAGTTCATTCTCTAAACCAATAAAAACAAAACAAAATTTAAAAATCCACTTCTCTAGGGGCGCCTGGGTGGCTCAGTCAGTTCAGCATCTGACTCTTGATTTTGGCTCAGGTCATAATCTCATGGTCATGAGATCAAGCCCCAGGTGAAGCCTGCTTAGGATTCTCTCTCTCCCTCTCCCCCTGCCTCTCCCCCCACCCACTGGCTTGCATGCACACGCTCTAAATAAATAAATAATAAATAAATAAAATTTATCTGGGTTCCACTTATTTAAAAAAAAATCTACTTCTCTTATTTTAGCTATTATTAATCACAGCTTATCCTATGCTTGATTTCTTTATTCTGGAGGCTTCTACATAGTATTTCTTTCCTTTATGTTGGTATGAGAATCCTGCTTAGGTGACTCCAGGATTTCTGAGAGGCATTTTAGAGATAATGTACAATAAAGTGATTAGAGCATTTGCCAGAGCATCATACTACTTAGGTAGGATTTAGCTCTGATATTTGCCAGCTTTGTGACCTTAAGCAAATTACTTACTTCTCAGAGTATCCTTTTCTGTAAAATGGGAACAACAATATGACCTGCCTATATCACTGTAAGAATTCAAGAAGATTCTACTAACAAATATTTATTGGGCAACTAATATACACTATATGCTGTTCTAGGTACTAGAGATACATGTGAAAAAGACTGACATTCTATTTTAACAGAGCAGATAGATAATAAAAAGGTAGATAAATTCAAATACTAAGGGCTATTAAAATAAGGCACTGTTAAGGAAAATGAGGGAGAAACATATAGCATATATATGACAATTTAATATTAAAAGCTCCTAAAATGACTTCTCCAACTATATGCCTTCTGTGAAGATAACCAACAACTTTTCCCCCATTTAGCATTTTTAAGAATTTAAAGGAAGACTCTTTGAGGGCAGGGAATATAGTTTTCATTCACTCAGCCTTTACTAGGCTCCTAGCACAATGTTAGGTGCCTGGAACATAAAGATGAGTAAAACAGTCACAGCCTTCAAGGAGGTCTCAATATACTAGAGAACCTGGTGTTTCCTTAATGGAACTTAAGAGCCTTGCAGAGAAGATAATAAGGGTAAGTGTTAAAATTCTAGTAGAAGGAACATTCCAGATGGGAATCTAACTCAAAATTGGGGATGTCAAGGAAGGTTTTCTGAAGAATTAGCAGAAGTTTATCAAAAAAAAAAAAAAAAAAAAAAAGAGGGAGGAGGAGCAGAAAGGGCAAAAGAAAACAGTAATTTTATAAAGGTCTTATGACTGTACAGATAAACAATTGTCCCCATAGTCAATGAGTTTGTTCATCTCCCACCTGAAAAACTAAAAGTATAGACAGAATAGGGGCGCCTGGGTGGCTCAGTTGGTTAAGCCACTGTCTTCGGCTCAGGTCACTATCCTGGAGTCCCAGGATCAAGCCCCACATCGGGCTCCCTGCTCAGCAGGGAGTCTGCTTCTCCCTCTGACCCTCCTCCCTCTCATGCTCTCTGTCTCTCATTCTCTCTCTCAAATAAATAAATAATTAAAAAAAAAAAAAAGATTCTTGCGAAAAAGTATAGACAGAATATATGAAGCAATAGTTTTTAAGATACAGGATATCAGGTAAGAGTGATCCCTGAAAGATAGGATATAAATGAGATAGGCCCTATGATTGCCTAGGCTTACTGTCTTGAGAGAGTTTCTAGGCTGTGCCATGGGGAAGGGGGACGCAGATATAGCCCAGCAAACCTGAGCTGAAGAGACATTGCTCTTCAGTCCAGGAAGTCGGAGAAGACTAAAGATCACAGGGAAGAATATGAAAGTAGAAAAAGCTGTACAAAGAATGAATTTCATAGATCTGTAGAGGGACTTCTCAAATATCTAGCTGAGTATTGATCAACATATGTGAGTTAACAATCTAAGATAATGTAAAGAACCACCTGAAATAATGAGACACTCATACAGGGCATGGAATAGTGCCTGTTCCCACCAGCCAGACTGGAAAACCTAACAATTCATAGAGCATTAGGTAGAGGACTCAGAAGGAGTTAGCCTCTATTAAAATAACCTACAACTAAATTCTGCTCAGGTCCCATCTAACAAATTCTAAAAACAGACCCAAAAAGATCAAGTTGATTCCAAGTAAGTTAACTGCATCTCAGAACAAAACTCGAGTATTTATAGAAATATAATAACATCCAGGGTGCCTAGGTGGCTCAGTTGGTTAAGTGTCTGCCTTAGGCTCAGGTCATGATCCCAGGGTCTTGGGATCAAGCCCTGCATCAGGCTGCGTGCTCAGCGGGGAGTCTGCTTCTCCCTCTCCCTCTGCTCCTCCCCCAGCTCATGCTCTCACTATCTCTCTCACTCTCCCTCTCAAATAAATAAATAAAATCTTAAAAAAAAAAAAAAAGAAATATAACAACATTCAACACCCAGCAATTAAAATTCACATCTGAAACTTAATTTAAAAAAACCAGGCAGGGCGCCTGGATGGCTCAGATGGTTAAGCGCCTGCCTTCGGCTCAGGTCACGATCCCAGGGTCCTGGGATCGAGTCCCACATTGGGCTCCCGGCTCAGCGGGGAGCCTGCTTCTCCCTCTGACCCTCTCCCCTCTCATGCTGTTTCTCTCTCGCTCGCTCTCTAAAAAATAAATAAAAATCTTTTAAAAAAAAAAACCAGGCATGATTCCATTTATATAAAACTATGGAAATGAAAACTAATCTATAGTGACTGAAAAAAAAAGTCTAAGGATGCCTGGGGATGGAGGGATAGGGCAAAAGAAAAAAAATCCACTCGTCTATCTGGCACTTAGGATGGATCTTTTCCAGGCATTATCTTATAATATCATGTACAGGCCACTCAGAAAATATTTGGTTCCCTGATTTTACAGATCTTATAAATGTTAACACATTTCATTATATAATATCAAAAAAGTCACATTCTATAATATCACCACCACTACCGTCAGGAAAGTCTGTAAGTATCATAAAACTGCCAGGCTCACAGTGGCATATACAGTTTTTCAAAATTCTGATTTTCACTCAAATTTTATCAGGTTTACTTTATCTTTAAGAATTACCATAGTTCATCTGTCAGTCATTCTTTCAAGTAAAAATGATGTTCCATGAAAAAAAGTGGCTAGTTCAGCTAACAATCCAAACTATCTTACAAGTGTTTTTCCTCAAGACAATCATCCTATTTTATATGCAAAACATTTTGAGTACTACTCACTCCTTCACACAGAATGTTAAAACAGCTTAAGGGCTGAGATTTAATAAAATTAGTAATTTTTACTACTTCATCAAGGACATTCTTAAGTGAAACTGGCTTTTTTTAACTGTGCATTAATGATGGTGAAGAAAACCACTATTAAAACAGGTCGGTACCACTATCTTGATTGTGCTAAGACACTGACAATTTTACCCATTGTTGCTTTTGCACCATCAATGAAAATGTCAAGACAGTTTTTAAAAAGGCAAATAACATCTTATTATTACTATAAAAATACTTTTGAGCACACACACTTGCCTGAGAAAAAAATACCAGTAATCTCTAGAGCTCCCTGGACTACTCCTTGAAAACTATTTGCTCTAAGGACACTGAAAAGAACTGTAGGAAAGTAGAGTCCACAACACTAGAATGTACAAGAGGAAAAAACATTTCAGATTTCTTTCTAGCCCAATTCTTTCATTTTATAAATGAGGAAACTGGAGCTCAAAGAAAATAGCATTTCCCATCTCACATATTAGTAGCAGAGATGTGATAGCACTTAGAGGACTTCTGAATTGTTTTCTACTATTCTTTGCATTATACTCTTCTTTTTTTTTTTTAATGAGTTTAGCAAATTCCACATTTTCCTTCTTTAAACTGAACAATGGCATAAATACATACATTTTGTGGAGAAAAGGAGTTTATCTTTCCTAATGGAGAGTTGAGTTTTGTGGTCTTTCCTGAAGCAACTTTTGCATCCAAATGATGTACCTCCTTTTCAAAACAATGACGCTTTCTAATCTGTAAACACAGAACCAAAATGGAAGTTTAATGTAAACAAAAGTCTGAGTAGGCCAGTTATTCTTGAAGGTCAAAATAGTTTTCGATATGTTTTCAGCATTAAAAAAAAGATGACTTTTTCTAACTGGCAATAATCAAACAATTTTTAAAAATACAAATGAGCACTTTTTTTTTTTTTAAGATTTTATTTATTTGACAGAGAAAGACACAGCGAGAGAGGGAACACAAGCAGGGGAAGTGGGAGAGGGAGAAGCAGGCTTCCCGCTGAGCAGAGAGCCTGATGCAGGGCTCGATCCCAGGACCCTGGGATCATGACCTGAGCCGGAGGCAGACGCTTAACGACTGAGCCACCAAGGCGCCCCACAAGTGAGCACCTTATATCTCTCAAATCCTAACCAAAATAGCTTTAATTAGTCATGTGTCAAAACTATAGTATTGTAAAATGATCTTCCCATAAATAGTCCTACCATACGGATATCAAGTGTAGTATTATAGCAAAGTTCAATTACATACCTAATTGGAAAGTAAAAGTAAATAAAAATAAAACTTCATTCTAAATTACAAAAACTCAGGGGCGGCTGGTGGGGGCTCATTCAGTTGAGTGTCCAACTCTTGGTTTCGGCTTGGGTCATGATCTCGGGGTTGTGGGATAGAGCTCTGTGTGGGGTTCCACACTGGCCTGCTTGGGATTCTCTCTCTCCCTCTCTCTTTACCCTTCTCCGCCCCCAAACTCTATCTCTTTCTCAACTAAATAAATCTTTAAAAAATAAATAATTTTGGGGGCGCCTGGGTGGCTCAGTCGTTAAGCGTCTGCCTTTGGCTCAGGTCATGATCCCAGGGTCCTGGGATCGAGCCCCACACCGGGCTCCCTGCTCTGCGGGAAGCCTGCTTCTCCCTCTCCCACTCCCCCTGCTTGTGTTCCTGCTCTCGCTATGTCTCTCTCTGTCAAATAAATAAATAAAATCTTTAAAAAAAATAAAAATAAATAAATAAATAAAAAATAAAAAATAATTTTTTAAAACTCAGAATAAAAATTTTAAATGTAAATAGTTATGATTTCCTACATGATAAAATAAATTATTTGACTATTAGTATTATTATTACTTACTAGATATTTGATAATTCAAATTGTACTTGACTAAATTTCTTCTATAAATACTACTAAGTTTTCTTTCCAAACTGTCTATGCCTTTTCCTACTTGCCAAAAACCTATTTACTTAAATTATGAAGTGGAAAAAAAAAACCATTTCTATTGATAATCCCATTCCTACCAAAAAAAGAAATGAGAGTCAATTAAGTCAGAGAATAAATGTTATTTGTTGAGCCCTATCACACAACATCCAACTCTATATACACATTTTGAAGAAGAAAATCTATACAGATTCATACTTCATTTGTAATCACTACTTTTCCAAAAATAAACTAGTTCATTCTATTTCTAAAATCAAGGTTTAACTATGGAAGTTAATAAAGATTATAAGTAGAATAGATAAACTACAGAAGAACGCAAACACTTTTTGAGTATATTCAATTAGAAATATATAATTATCTACAAAGGACATGCTAATTAATTATAATAATCTCTTTATTTGTAACTAAGTCTATCAAAGTCCTAGCCTATCTCCCTACCTCACTGCCATGAACTCTATGACAGAACATTGTATTTATGGGCGCCTGGGTGGCTCAGTCGTTAAGCGTCTGCCTTCAGCTCAGGTCACGGTCCCAGGGTCCTGGGATCAAGTCCCACATCAGGCTCCCTGCTCGGTGAGAAGCCTGCTTCTCCCTCTCCCACTCCCCCCTGCTTGTGTTTCCTCTCTCACTGTGTCTCTGTCAAATAAATAAATAAAATCTTAAAAAAAAAAACCAAAAACACTGTATTCATGTATGAAAAACACATTTCATATAAAATGTTTAGTAATTTTTAGAAATAAACATTTTATCAAAGTGCCTGGGTGGCTCAGTCATTCATCGTCTGCGTTTAGCTCAGGTCATGATCCCAGAGTCCTGGGATTGAGCCCTGCATGGGGCTCCCTGCTCGGCGGGAAGCCTGCTTCTCCCTCTCCTACTCCCCCTGCTTGTATTCCCTCTCTCGCTGTCAAGTGAATAAATAAAATCTTAAAAAAAAAAAAAAAGATACATTTTATCATGTATTGATATTAAAACTCAATAAATAAGAATAAACCTTGTCATTATGCTAAAACTATCAATAACAAAAATATTCATATCAGAGATATTTTGACCAAAAGAAAATGCCATAATTAGGTAAAAACAACAGAGGACTTAAAAAGTACAAAGTATCTGTTTTACCAATATATGCCTTAAGTAAGTATTTTACCATCAAATTCTTCATATATAGAAAAGCACCATGCTGTTTCACTTTAAAGACATGTTATTATGAGTAATCTACTGTAACAACAAACTCCTTTGTAATGCATAACTATACAAAATGAACTTACAATAATTTACCATTTAATTTCTATGATATAACCCAATTAAATTGTACAAGTGCCAATGAAAACTTGATTGATACTTAACTCCCGTGTACAGTGGTAACGGTATTATTTCACTGCCAATAAACTGTTTACCTGCTGTGTGGTTTCTAAGGGTCGAATTCTTTTCTTCTCTACTTGAAAATCATCATTTTCATCTCTTTTTATGGAAGCCTGTTTCTTGGCAGATAGCTTTGCAGCCAGCGTAGTTTTTTCAGGAGAGTCTTATATAAGAAGTCATAAAAAATTAGCATAAAAAACTTAGGCAATTTTTCTAGGAAAAATTAGAATCAAGATGTTAAGACTTCTCAAAATTTCAAAACATACTTTAAAACATGAAAAGCTCAACATATTTAAAAGCATTTCTTTACCACTGAGTTTACTTAAAAAAGATATAACATTTTGAGAAATATGCTTTCAATAGGAAAGTTCAATTCTGATTTAATAGGTTTATGTTTTTGTAGACGACTCCCAATAATGTGGTTTAAAAAATATAACTGTAAGGGTCTCACAAGAAAATGTATTTCATTTATATAAAAATCTTTCTTTACAGTGTCTCAATGTTCTTCCCCACTAAGCTTCTATATGTTCTTTAGGCTTCAAAATACAGCAGAATCAAGCTCCTATAATCTGTCTTTTAATCCCACTACCCTGAAGGTCATCAATGACCTCTTAATCACTTAATATTAACCCACATAATAAATGTGAACAGTAGGTTTTTAAGAAGTCAAGTCAGTATGCCCAATATCATATAGCTAGTAAGAGGCAGAGCATGGATATGAGTGACTCCTGCTGTCTGACTCCAAAATCCATCAGCATAACTTTTAGGGATACAGCCAAACATAACACTGTCTTCTTGAAATACAACACACACATTTCCTTTTTCCTTAATTTCTGTAACACTTTTCTTAACTGTTCCTATACATTGGTTTCTCCTTTTCCCTAAATGTGAGTGCTCTTAAAAGTACCTCCCTTCCTCTCAGCTCTTCTCTATACATTCCCTCCACTCCCAGGGCTTGAATTCATTTAACAAGCTTTTACTGAGTCCATACAATTCCAGACATCATGGAAAACAGTAAAAAAGAAACAGCCTCTGGCCTTAATAAATTTACAGACTATTAGAGAAGAAAGCCCTGAAAGCAGGTCCAATACTATTTTCAAAAGCCAAGTTTGAGTCTGTAAAAACACACGTAAATCTATGCCACACAGCATTGATTTTCAAGTTTTTTCCGAGAGGACTATATATCTTAAAGAAATATTGCCTAAAATTTCTAAAGTAGAATAAAGGACCTAGAACTTCCCTGACTCATTGCCCCCCCACCCCCAGAGGCCATATTTTTTTCCTATGACTCTTAGGAACATAGTTTAAATACCACTGTATTCTAGGGGCACCTGGGTGACTCAGTCAGTTGGGCGACTGACTCTTGATTTCAGCTCAGGTCATGATCTGAGGGTCATGGGGATCAAGACCTGCATCAGGCTCTGTGCTGGGCATGGAGCCTGAATAAGATTCTCTCTCAGGGGTGCCTGGGTGGCTCAGTCAGTTAAGTATCGGTCTTCAGCTCAGGTCATGGTGCCAGGGTTCTGTAATAGAGCCCCACATCCAGCTCCCTGCTCAGCAGGGAGTCTGCTTCTCCCTCTCCTTCTGCCCCTCACCCACTCATGCTCTCTCTCTCTCTCAAATAAATAAAATCTTAAAAAAAAAAAAAAAGATTCTCTTTCTACTCTGCACCCTCCCACCCACCACTCACACTCTTGAGTGCTCTAAATAAATATATAAATAAACAAATATCACTATATTCTAAAATCTTAATGGTCTTGTCTTTCATACTTAGGTTTTTTTTTTTCTTTTTTTTTGACCTATACAATTCAATTTTATTAGTATCAGGCAGTGGGCTAAAAGTTTTACACAGATCAGCTCCTTCTACCATCCCATGAAGTAGCAATTATTATTTTACAGTACATAGAAAGACGGAGTAAGTGCCCAAGGTAAACAATGGAATTGATTCCAAACCTGTTTCCGACATAATCCAAAACCTTTTTGTTTTTTTAAGATTTTATTTTTAAGTAATCTCTACACCAAACAGAGGGCCAGAACTCACAACCCAGAGATCAAGAATCACATGCTCTACTGACTAACCCAGCCAGATGCCCCCTTTTAACTTTTCTTTTTTTTTAAGTAAGGTCTATGCCCAACATGGGGCTTGAACTCACAACCCTGAGACCAAGAGTTCCATGCTCTACCCACTGAGCCAGACAGGTGCCCCCAATAGTTTGAAGTTTTAAAAAGTTACCAACTAATATAAGCTCACTGTAAAAGATTTAAGCAAATTAGAAGTATAAATAAGAAATAGTAAAATGCCATCCACTTCCCTCCCTCCCTTCTTCACTTGCTCATTTCTAATTCTTCCTCTCTGAACTAATCACTACTTATCTTTCAGAATGAATCCTTCTGGATGACTTTCTTTTTTTCATCATTTTTTTTCATCTTCATAAGTGTACTCTTTTATCCCCATCCTATAAATTCCCCCATCCCCCACTCACTTCCCCTCTGGTAACCATCAATTTGTTCTCTATAGTTAAGAGTCGGTTTCTTGGTTTGTCTCTGCTTTTTTTCCCTTGGCTCATTTGTTTTGTTTCTTAAATCCCATACATGAGTGAAATCATATGGTATTTGTCTTTCTCTGCCTGGCCTAACATACTTTCTAGTTCTATGTTGTTGGAAATGACAAGATTTCATTCTTTTTATGACTGAATAATATTCCGTTGTATATATATATACCATATCTTCTTATCCATTCATCTATCAATGGATACTTGGGCTGCTATCAATGGATACAAAGTCATAGTTTGGCTATTCAATTAATGCTGCAATAAATACAAGAGTCCATGTATCCCTTTGATTTAGTGTTTTTGTATTTTGGAGGGTAAATACCCAGTAGTGCAACTCCTAGATTGTAGGGTAGTTCTGTTTTTTTTCTTCCTTTGTTTTTAAAGATTTTATTTATTTGACAGACAGAGTATAAGCAGGGGTGAAGGAGCAGAGGGAGAGGGACAAGCAGACCCCACTGAGCAGGGAGCCCAATGCAGGGCTCGATCCCAGGACCCCAAGATTATAAACCTGAGCTGAACTCAAACACATAACTGACTGAGTCACCCAGGTGCCCCAGGGTAGTCCTATGTTTAATTTTTTGAGGAACCTCCATACTGTTTTCTACAGTGGCTACACCAATTTGCATTCCCACCAACAGTGCAAGAGGGTTCCTTTATCTCCACATTCTTACCAACACTTGTTTTCTTGTGTTTTTGATTTTAGCCATTCTAACAGGTATGAGGTAGTATCTCATGTGGTTTTGATTTGCAGTTCCTTGATGATGAGTGATGTTGACCATCTTTCACGTGTGTTGCCCATCTATACGTCTTCTTCAGAGAAATATCTGCTCATGTCTTCTATCCATTTTTTAATTGAATTATTTTTTGGGGTATTGAGTTGTATCAGTTCTTCACACATTTTGGATACTAACCTTTTCAGATATTTCATTTGCAAATATCTTTTGCCATTCAGGAGGTTGCCTTTTAGTTGTATTGCTTGCTTTCTTTGCTGCACAGAAGCTTTTTATTTTGATGTAGTCCCAGTAATTTGTTTTTGCTTTTATTTCCCTTGCCTTAGGAGACATATCTAGAAAAATGTTGCTATAGCCAATGTCAGAGATTATTGCCTGTGCTTTCTTCAAGGATTTTTATGGTTTCAGGTCTTACATTTAGGTCTTTGATCCATTTTGAGTTTATTTTTATGTATGGTGAAAGAAAGTGGTCCAGTTTCATTCTTTGGCATGTGGCTGTCCAGTTTTCCCAACACCATTTTTTTAGGAGACTTTTTTCCATTGTATACTCCTTCCTCCTTTGTCAAAGACTAATTGACCATGTAATTGTGGGTTTATTTCTGGGTTTTCTTGATATGTGGATCTGTGGGTCTATTTTTGGCCAGTATCATACTATTTTAATTACTACTGCTTTATATTGTAATTTGAACTGTGGAATTGTGGTACCTTTAGTTTTGTTTTTCTTTTTCAAAATTGCTTTGGTTATTGAAGCAGAACAAAGTCATATGTCACATCAATAAGAGAAAGGATAAAAGCCATATGATCATTTCAATAGATGCAAAAAAAGCATTTGACAAAGTACAACATCCATTCATGATAAAAACCCTCTGCAATGCAGGTCTAAGGGAACATATCTCAACATAATAAAGGCCTTATATGAAAAACCCACAACGAACATATTTAATGGTGAAAAACTGAGAGCCTAGGGTCAGGAACAAGACAAGGATGTCCACTCTCATCACTTTAATCAATATAGTACTGGAAGACCTAGCCACAGTGATTAGACAACCTAAAGAAATAAAAGGCATCCAAATTGGTAAGGAAGAAGTAAAACTTTCCCTATTTGTAGATGACATAATACTATATACAGAAAACCCTAAACACTCCACCAAAAAACTACTAGAGCTGATAAATGAATTTGGTAAATTTTCAGGATACAATATCAATGTACAGAAATCTGTTGCATTCCTATACACTTATAATGAAGAAGCAAAAAGAGAACTTAAGAAAATGATCCCATTTACAACTGCACCAAAAACAATAAAATACCTGGGAATAAACTTAACCAAAGAGGTGAAACACCTGTACTCTGAAAACTATAAAACACTGATAAAGAAATTCAAGGTGACTCAAAGAAATGGAAAGACATTCCATGCTCATGGGCTGGAAGAACAAAGATTGTTAAAAATGCCTAAACTACTGAAAGCAATCTACAGATTTAATGCAATCCCTATCAAAATACCAACAGCATTTTTCACAGAACTAGAACAAACAGTCCTAAAATTTGTATGGAACCACAAAAGGCCTCTCATACCTCAATCTTTAATCTGCCTGGAATGAATTTTTGTGTATGGCATAAAGTAGGACTCCAATTTAAATTTTTTCATAAGGATATCTAAGTACCGCTTATAAAAAAAAAAAAAAAAGTCCCTACTTAGTCCTCTGCTCTGTAAACATGCCTTTTTTTTTTTTTTTTTTAAAGTAGGCTCCACACCAGCATGGAGCCCAATGCAGAGCTTAAACTCACAACCCTGAGATCAAGACCTGAGCTAAGATCAAGAGTCAGACACTTACCCAACTGAGCCACCCGGGCACCCCTAGACATTACTTCTATAAATAAT